GGTGGCAAACCGCCATGGGTCATGAACGCACGAGGAAAGCACCCACCGTGTCGACCGTTCATGCAAAAGGAGGGTCCAAGCATCCAACTTAACAGTTGGGGGATTCAGGATTGCATTCGGGAAGCCCTATATAAACCATAAAACCCAAAAGCCCTCCAGCCCCACACCCTAAACACTAAGCCCTAAACCCCCAAAACCCTATTCAAGTTACTAAGGCCCCTATATTATAGAACCCTACCAGAGATCTCTTATAGTAACCTGTATCGACCCCTTTAGACCAAAACCAAAAAACCCTAAACCCCTAAACCCCTAAACCCCTAAACCCCTAAACCCCTAAACCCCTAAACCCCTAAACCCTAAACCCCTAAACCCTAAACCCTTTAAAGGAACACCATTCTACCTCCCAAACCAAATAAGCGGAGGCCCCGGAGCAGAAAGAGGACATCGTACTCCGGCTTTGGCGTCGACTGCCTGAGGCTTTAGGGCGTGTGGGTTTAGGGTTTTAGGGTTTAGGGGTTAGGGTTTTAGGGCATTATAGGCTTAGGGGTTTAGGGTTTAGGGGTTTATAGGGTTTATAGGGTTTATAGGGTTTATAGGGTTTATAGGCTTAGGGTTTAGGGTTTAGGGGTTTAGGGTTTAGGCTTTAGGGTGTGTGGGTTTAGGGTTTAGGGTTTGGGCATGAGGGTGTGTGGGCTTAGGATTCAGGGGTTTAGGGTTTCGGGGCGCGTGTGGCGCATTTAAGATTCGAAGCTTGAGGTGATTCGAGGCCACAAGGCTTTCGATGTGGAGTTTAGGGCTGAGGGTAGGGATTGGGGGATTAAGATGTAGGGCTTGGGATGTAGGGTTTAGACGCTAAGGCTTTAAGATTCAGGCTTTAGGGTTTTCACGACCCCTCATAATGATCATGAGAGCGATGTGCTTAGAATTGGGTTTTGAGTATTTGGGAGGGCATGTCTGGGGGGACTCGAAGGGTGTCGAGTTTGGAGGTAGGATTTTGAGCTTGGCTTTTAGACTTTGGGTTTCAGTTTTTTAGGGGTTTTAGGGGGTTTAGGGTTTAGGGTTTAGGGTTTAGGGTTTAGGGTTTAGGGTTTAGGGGGTTTTCAGTTTGTGGTTTGATTGTTTGGGCAAAGGTTCCTGGAGGAGATTACGGCTGAGCATCTAGGGCAGAGCCTTTGACAACAGTCCTAAACCCCAAATCCCCAAAAACACGGACCCAATCTTCCTAAATTTTCTAGTCTCTTGAGAGCCCGACCCTCAAATTCTCAGAGCCTGGCCCTTTATAAGCCCCCCAAAAAGCGCCTACTTTTGTAATACTACGTAAGTAATGCTTAAGGCTTCTTATTCTGGCTAAACCATTGTCCAGTTTCCAGGCCCCGATTCTAAAACCCTTACCGAGCCCCCTAAGCCCTAAACCTGCCGGAGCCAAGCTTTGATCAGACGCCGCTGCCGAATCTCCCTAAACCCTAAACGCTAGTCCCCGATACCTAAGCCCTAAACCTTAGTCCGTAATGCCGGACACCTCAACCCTTAACCAGACCCTAAACCCTAAACCCTACCGAGGCCCCAACAACCTGGCTCATCCTGGTAAGGAATTCTAGCTGTACTGCAGTCGGAAAAGAGCCCTCAAAAAAAAACGCCTATCAGACGCCGCTGCCGAACCTCTACTGGGTCGGCGGCATCTTCACCGTCATCTGGGGGTGGCTTGGACCAGTCTTTAGGGGCTTATAGGCCCTGGGGGTTTTGGAGTTTGGAGATTAGGAGCTTAATAAAGGGTTTAGGGTTTTAGGGTTTAGGGCTTTGGGGGTTTAGAGTTTCGAGGTTAGGAGCTTAAGGTTTAGGTGTTTAGGGGTTTTAGAGGTTTAGGGGTTTAGGGTTTAGGGTTTAGGGTTCTGGTTCGGGGGGTTAAGCCCTTGAGGGTTTGTTTTGGGTGAAGTTCACGATTTGGGGTGGGGGACCTTTACTTCCGTTTTTGAGTGCTTTGGGGCTTCAGCCTCTTCCTTTTGGAGCCCAAGGGCTCCATGTACCTTTGTAGTAGAGACGGTTGATGATATAAATCCTGCATCACCTTAAGGACCCTACACTATGGGAATTATGGTATATTCCTTATTATGGGTAATGCAGGATTTATATCATCAACAGTACTTAAGCCGTAAAGGGGTCCCTGATATAGGTACTCTTAGGCCTAAGTATTTAGTATATGGGTACATGGAGCCTTGGGAGATGGTGCCTGTCTCTTAAGTGTTGGGGGTTTAGTTCATGGCATCGAGTTCTGAGCTTTGGCGACTTATCGGCTTTTTGGGGTCCTTGAGGGGTTTAGGGGTTGAGGGTTTTGGGGTTTAGGGCTTTCGGGCTTTCGGGGTTTGGGGCTTAAGGTTTGGGGGCATGTTTCGCATTGGCCTCGATCTTTCGCCGAGGCCGCTGGCTCTTTGAATCTCTGAGGTTCGGAGTTGTATCAGTTTGCGGTTCAGGATTTGGGTTTAGGGTTTAGGGTTTAGGGTTTAGGGTTAGGGCTGGCTGGGTTGAGGGTTTGCAGGGAACGTTTTCCGAACTCCTTTGCTCTCTTGTCTGCCAAGAATGATTGCTTGCATCCGTAACCCCTTTGTCAGCGTACCCTAAAACCCCAAACCTAAACCCCCAAACCCTTAAACCCTAAACCCTTGACCCTTAAACCAATACCGTAAGCGTTCCTGCACCCAAACCGCTTCACAATGCCTGAAATCCTGCAGCCTACATCCGGAAACCCTGAACCCCAAACCCAACGCCCCAAGCCTACTTGGAGGATCATGAGACTTAGTAACCAAGGTTCTCAATAGGATGACTATAGTTAGTTATTATGACTGAGAATTCCAATTCAGGATATTCTTAACCTTACTTCCTAAGTCCCATGATCTTGCAAGTAAACCCAAAGCCAACAAAGGTACCGGATGTGGGGTGCTTTTACAAGACTGATGATCATCAGGCTGGTTTTCTCGACGGTTTCGGAGCTAGAGGTCTGCATGGTCGTCCCTAAGCCCTAAACCCTAAACCCAAAGCCCTAAACCCTAAACCCAAAGCCCTAAACCCTAAACCCAAAGCCCTAAACCCCAGATCCTAAATCTAGACTCACAAGCCTCGCGCGAGACTCAGCATTAGTATGTACCACGGTTGATGATATAAATCCTGCAGTACCCATAATAAGGAATATACCATAATTCCCATGCTTTAGGTTCCTTCGGGTAATGCAGGATGTATATCATCAACCGTAGTATGGAGCAATCGTATTAGTACTACCACCGTATCAGTAGTAGTGTTATTAGTACTCGCATTCGTAGTATCATGACAGTACTCCCAATAGTATCAGTGATAACATTAAGAAGAGTATTAGTAGTGGTGTTGGTAATATCACGAGTAGCAGTGCTAGTATTAGTATGAACAGTGGTGCAATATCGCCATTTCGTCATGCCCAGAGAACCCAATACCCCTTAATGAAGGAATATACGTTAAATCATAGTATTAAGGCCTCTATAATTTAAGGTCTATTTCTTAATTGAGGGATATTGGTACTGCTGATGATATAAATCCTGCATTACCTTAAGGACCTTGAACTATGGGAACTATGGTATATTCCTTATTATGGGTAATGAGGATTTGCATCATCAACCGTATCTCTGGGTGAGGGCACTCGGGGAGGCTGCAGCCTTCAGTCGCCTCTGCAGGGTCCAAAGGACCCACTCATTTCAGGATTTGACGAGGGCTTTCTTGGGTTTGAAGGGGCTTTGTAAAGTGGGGGGGGGGGGGGGGGGGGGGCGGGGCGGTGGAGGATCCAAAACATTCAAGAATTAATTTTCAATAACTAAGCTTTGGGGCTTAGCATAGTTGTAAGTTGTAATGTTGGCTAGTATGTCGGTACGTGGTATATGCGAGTTTCCGAAAATGGGGTGCCCTAATATAGAACGCTAAATCGCAGGATCCTCATTTTACAGACCCCAGAATAAGGTACCCCATAATTTTCGGAAACTCTCATATGATTATCAGTTAAAAGGGGCCCCCACCCTGTAATAGTGGCATAATAGTAATATACCAGGTCCCTAATATGTAATCCTTATAGTCACCATTACAGGGTGGGGCCCCTGCTAAACTATCAGAATCTTGGATGCGAAGGGTGGTACTCTGAGTAAGTAAGCATTCCGTAAACCCTATACGCGAAACTTCTGATTGTGACATGCGCTAGGCTTGAAAGGTAGCAACCAAAGAGGGTTGGACAAGCAAGGGCAAACCAAACAAGCTGCCAGCTGTGAAACCTCCTGCTAGAGGTGCAACTAAATGCCTTTCCTGCATGTCTGAATGCAGGAAGGAGCATTCAAGCTTTCGTTTCGACCGAACAATTGAGCAGATCTGAACAACGACAACCTGCGAAAGTATTGATGCCTCATGTAGCTTCATTAGGTCTATGGCATATTTGGGAATGCAAGCAAGGTGAGTCATTTACGGTGTTGGTAGCAGCATATGCGACCGCACGTGAGGTTGTAGAGGAATCTTCTTGGTACAAAAGGACGTGCAGGAATTGAATCTAAAGCTGCGCCCATCACGTTCCTACAGCGTGCATTTTCAAGATTCTCGAGTGGCCTGCTGTAGTGCTTTGCCATCGTTGGCCGTCATCATCGGCTGTAGCTTTATCTATTCGGGACACTTGAACTGCTTTAACTTGGGTCAAAGATGGGAATCTGAGCAACAACAGTTCATGATGATTTTGCGCATGGGCATTCCGTCATGGGTTCAACCGCAGACCCTTAAACCCCGGATCAACCCCAGACCCTAAACTCTGAAATTCAGTTCAGGTATGCAGATGTGAACTACCAGCTGCGTCGGCCCGATGTTCTGGCAAACAAGGCCAGCGAAGATCAGAAGGGCCAACAGGTTGAAAGGTTGCGTAAACCCCAATCCGCAAGACCAGACAAGACCAAGGGCAGTTATAAGGGTATGAGGCCTGGAGCCAGTTTCGGTTCCATGAACTTTTGCTTATGCCGGCAATTTGGATCACACCGGACATGCTTTCAGTGGTCAAGACAAGTTTTGCCGCTTTGCGGAGGATTCGCAGACGGGTTGCTTGCAGCTGGCTCGAGTTCAGGACCTCCTCGACTTGCGAGATGCAGGGCTGCACTTTTATAGGCAAAGTGCTGCTGGCAGCCTTGGCTGTGCTCGCGGATGTGTCGATTGGGGAGCACCTGACGAATGCAAGCTATGCCGACGACGACAACCAGGCCCTCTTGCAAGCACGAGCGAAAACTGCAAACGGTTGTAGCAATGACGTCGACCCGCCCTTGCTGGAGATTATTGCAGACTTCGCAGTGGCCAGCGACGCTGGGGAGTGCGGAGCCCAGGTGTTCTATGCCTCTCCTCTCGCAACGGACTTGTGCGACCCGAATCCATTGGTTGTGCAAACCGGCGGCTTAAGCTCCGGTGCAACTTTCCCAGTGGGCGACACACATGTGACCTTCACTGCGACCGATGATTCTAACAACACTGCAAGCGGTACCTTGACTGTTACGGTGGAAGACGCCGAGGACCCAGGGATTTCGGGTCTTCCTGGTTCCATGTCAGTAGACACCGACCCTGGACTTTGTACGGCCACGTTGACCTACAATGCACCTACCGCGACAGACAACTGCCCGGGAGTGGCGATTGAAAAGACCAGCGGACCCACCTCCGGCGCAAGTGTCCCAGTGGGCACCACCGGTGTGACCTTCACTGCGACCGATGGTGCAGGCAACACTGCAACCGGTAGCTTCTTTGTTACTGTGGACGACTACGAGCACCCGGTGATTTCGGGTCTGCCTGCTGACATCACAGTGACCACCGACCCTGGACTTTGTGCGGCCATCGTGACCTATACTGCTCCTACTGCGACGGACAACTGCCCAGGAGTGCAAATGCACTCGACCGGTCCCAGCTCCGGTGCAAGTTTCCCGGTGGGCAGCACTTATGTGAACTTCACTGCGTTCGATGCTGTTGGCAACATTGAAAGCCATATCTTCAAAGTAACGGTGGATGACGTCGAGGATCCAGTGATTTAGGGTCTGCCTGTTTCCATCAGAGTAGACACCGACCCTGGACTTTGTGCCGCCATCGTGACGTACAATGCTCCTACCGCGGCGGACAACTGTCCAGGAGAGGAAATTGTGTTGACCAGCGGACCCAGCTCCGGTGCAAGTTTCCCAGTGGGTATCACTGATGTGAGCTTCACTGCGACCGATGCTGCTGGCAACAATGCAGGCGGCAGCTTCGTTGTTACGGTGCATGACTACGAGCACCCGGTGATTTCGGGTCTGCCTGCTGACATCACAGTGAACACCGACCCTGGACTTTGTGCGGCCATCGTGACCTATACTGCTCCTACTGCGACGGACAACTGTCCAGGAGTGGAAATGCACTCGACCGGTCCCAGCTCCGGTGCAAGTTTCCCGGTGGGCAGCACTTATGTGAGCTTCACTGCGTTCGATGCTGTTGGCAACATTGAAAGCCATACCTTCAAAGTAACGGTGGATGACGTCGAGGATCCAGTGATTTCGGGTCTGCCTGTTTCCATCAGAGTAGACACCGACCCTGGACTTTGTGCCGCCATCGTGACGTACAATGCTCCTACCGCGGCGGACAACTGTCCAGGAGAGGAAATTGTGTTGACCAGCGGACCCAGCTCCGGTGCAAGTTTCCCAGTGGGTATCACTGATGTGAGCTTCACTGCGACCGATGCTGCTGGCAACACTGCAGGCGGCAGCTTCGTTGTTACGGTGCATGACTACGAGCACCCGGTGATTTCGGGTCTGCCTGCTGACATCACAGTGACCACCGACCCTGGACTTTGTGCGGCCATCGTGACCTATACTGCTCCTACTGCGACGGACAACTGTCCAGGAGTGGAAATGCACTCGACCGGTCCCAGCTCCGGTGCAAGTTTCCCGGTGGGCAGCACTTATGTGAACTTCACTGCGTTCGATGCTGTTGGCAACATTGAAAGCCATATCTTCAAAGTAACGGTGGATGACGTCGAGGATCCAGTGATTTCGGGTCTGCCTGTTTCCATCAGAGTAGACACCGACCCTGGACTTTGTGCCGCCATCGTGACGTACAGTGCTCCTACCGCGGCGGACAACTGTCCAGGAGAGGAAATTGTGTTGACCAGCGGACCCAGCTCCGGTGCAAGTTTCCCAGTGGGTATCACTGATGTGAGCTTCACTGCGACCGATGCTGCTGGCAACACTGCAGGCGGGAGCTTCGTTGTTACGGTGCATGACTACGAGCACCCGGTGATTTCGGGTCTGCCTGCTGACATCACAGTGACCACCGACCCTGGACTTTGTGCGGCCATCGTGACCTATACTGCTCCTACTGCGACGGACAACTGTCCAGGAGTGGAAATGCACTCGACCGGTCCCAGCTCCGGTGCAAGTTTCCCGGTGGGCAGCACTTATGTGAGCTTCACTGCGTTCGATGCTGTTGGCAACATTGAAAGCCATATCTTCAAAGTAACGGTGGATGACGTCGAGGATCCAGTGATTTCGGGTCTGCCTGTTTCCATCAAAGTAGACACCGACCCTGGACTTTGTGCCGCCATCGTGACGTACAATGCTCCTACCGCGGCGGACAACTGTCCAGGAGAGGAAATTGTGCTGACCAGCGGACCCAGCTCCGGTGCAAGTTTCCCAGTGGGTATCACTGATGTGAGCTTCACTGCGACCGATGCTGCTGGCAACAGTGACGTCGGCAGTTTCACTGTTACTGTCAGTGATGTGGAGAAGCCGGTGATTTCGGGTTTGCCTGGTAACATCACACAGCCCAACGACCCTGGACAGTGTGGGGCCGTCGTGAGCTATACTCCTACCGTGTCGGACAACTGTGAGAACCCAGTGCTATCACAGGATGTCGGCGTCGGACCCGGTAGCTTTGCTGCTTTTAGGAATTACGCTTTGCTCTTCTTATAGTTGTGTCATTCCAGGGGAGTAATAAGAATATCGTTTCTGTTCTGGTTCTAAGGGTGGCTAAGGTAGTTTCCCGATTGGCAGCACGACAGAGACCTGGAGTGCGACCGATGCTTCTGGCAACACTGACACCGGCACTTTCACTGTTACGGTCAGTGACACTGAGAACCCAGTGATTTCGGGTCTTCCTGGTCCCATGTCAGTAGACACCGACCCTGGACTGTGCACGGCCACGTTGACCTACAATGCTCCTACCGCGACAGACAACTGCCCGGGAGTGGCGATTGAAAAGACCAGCGGACCCACCTCCGGCGCAAGTGTCCCAGTGGGCACCACCGGTGTGACCTTCACTGCGACCGATGGTGCCGGCAACACTGCAACCGGTAGATTCTTTGTTACGGTGGACGACTACGAGCACCCGGTGATTTCGGGTCTGCCTGCAGACATCACAGTGAACACCGACCCTGGACTTTGTGCGGCCATCGTGACCTATACTGCTCCTACTGCGACGGACAACTGCCCAGGAGTGCAAATGCACTCGACCGGTCCCAGCTCCGGTGCAAGTTTCCCGGTGGGCAGCACTTATGTGAGCTTCACTGCGTTCGATGATGTTGGCCGTTCCACCGCCGATAGCTTCACTGTTACGGTGAATGACGTCGAGGACCCAGTGATTTCGGGTCTGCCTGTTTCCATCACAGTCAACACGGACCCTGGACTTTGTTCGGCTATCGTGACCTATGCTGCTCCTACCGCGACAGACAACTGCCCGGCGATTGAAAAGACCAGCGGACCCACCTCCGGCGCAAGTGTCCCAGTGGGCACCACGGATGTGACCTTCACGGCGACCGATGGTGCAGGCAACGCCGCAAGCGGCACTTTCACTGTTCAGGTCAATGACAACGATCCTCCAGCTCTCGAGGTTGAGGACATCGACATTGAGTCCTGCAGTCCGACAGCGGTCACATTTTCTCCTACAGCAGCTGACAACTGCCAAGGTGTGACAGCGGCTTGCAGTCCCTTTGTCATAGCTGGGTAACTTTTTATATTTTTATGGGGTAGTCAAACCCAATAAGGAATAGAAACTGAATTTTTAATACTATCCCACCCATGAACTAGATTTTATGGGGTAGTTAAACCCAATAAGGAATAGAAATGTAAGTCTTTAAACCTATCCCAACCATGAACTAGGTCCGCAATCGGGCTCAGAGTTCCCCGTCGGCGAGACGGAAGTGAGCTGCACTGCAGTCGACGCAGCGGGCAGCACCACTCAAAAGAGCTTCGTCGTTTTGGTGGAGTGTGTTGGCCAGGGCTACCCAAAGAAGTCCCACAGCAACAACATCCGTAGCCGCAGAAACCGTCGCCGGAAGAAGTGGTTGCAAAGAAACCGCCGCTTGAAGAAGTGGTTGCACAGAAACCGTCGCTTGAGGAAGTGGCCGCGCTACTGGAAATACTGGCATCATTAGGAAATGCCACCATTTTGCTGTACAGTCCTCGCTTTTACATCCTGAGAAGTCGCAGGAAGAGCTGCTGTACATTGGAAGCACACTGTAAACATTTAAGTGCTCTGAAGACGTTCGCAGCTAAGCATTGACTTGCTGTCTTTTGTTTTAAAGAGGACAAGAGTTGCCGAGACATGCAGCTAGTGAGAAGGCTGCAAAAGACAGGCATCCGTATCCAAGCAGCAATCATTGCTGAGCGCACTTGCACTCGATCTCCGATGGTATAGTAGGTAATATAGGGGCCATAATAATTATTTACCTATACTGATGTTTTGGGGGAGGAGTCCTTATTATAAATGTAGTACAGCGGGCCCCAAAACCCTGTTCTAATTATTAAGGCCCCTGTATTAGGTTAGGTGTTGGGGGTTCACGGGCAGTGAAGCGTATCAGAAGCCGAGAGGCCAGAAGCAGGTGCTGGTGGCTGCCCTGCGATGAGAGTTCACGGATCGCCCCACCACAAGCCGCAAGACTTGAAACCATAGAATGCCATACTAAGCCCTGCCCTCCCCTAAACCCTAAGCCCTAAACCTCAACAAAAAACTAAACCTTTGGGGCTCCTTATTATGATTTCCTGCTCTCCGGGAGACCCTTTTAGGGTTTAGGGTAAATCTGCAAACGACACCTTCAACATCGGCCAGGGTCGACAGGGGATGATTGGGGCTAAGATGTGGAGACTAGAAGGGCATACTAGGGTTTAGGGGTTTAGGGTTTAGGGAGTGCTAGTTATTCAGACCCCTATGGTTCTCTGACCATGCTTCTGTCGACTGCAAAACTAGATGGCGAGGGCGTGTATGTCCGATGCCTGAAATAGTTACCAGTACCTTGACCCCTTAACCCAAACCGTTAATCTCAAATCCAAAGCTTTGAATCCCCGAACCTCATCTGTTGTTTGATTGGAGGCGGGAACAAGTCGCTTAAAGCTGAGCAATATGGACAAGGGATCCCTATTCATGACGGACTAACAGGGACCCTCGAAATGAAACCAAAACGGCGGGTCGTGTTTGGGATCTTAGCTTTTGGCTTCAGGACTTCATACAGACTTTACGATTCAAGGTTTCTTAAGGTCTAGGATTCAGGGCATAACATCCCCAAACCGACACCTCAAACCTTAACTATTAAACCTAAACCCTGTAAACCGAAATCCTGAACACAGTTTAGAACCCGCATGCAACCTTTCAGCAGCATTCTTAAGGAGCCTTTCATGTATAACTGTATAACAAATTTAAAGCCCTGAGCCCTAAACCCAAAGACAGGAACCCTAAATCTGAAAACCCGAAACCCCCATATCCGATAGGTCGTTGCCTTGCGCTTCTTGGTGCTGCCCTTGCTTGTGGTGCCTGGCGTCGCCCTGGGCGTCGGTGGGTCTGGGAGCCTAGAGCACGTCGGGCTCTTCGGGGCGTTTGGGGTTTAGGTTTAGGGTTTAGCCTGAACACTAGGCCCGGTTAAACTCTAAAACCTAAGCCTAAACCCCCAAAACCCGAAACCCTACACACGCTGAGACTGCTGGTTCAGGGCTCAGGGGTTAGGGCTTTAGGTTGAGACTTAAGGTTTAGGATTTAGGGCTTACCCGAACACTTAATAAGCTACCTTTTCAGGGTTCCTTATTATGTTTGATTTTCTGCTATAAGTCCTCAACATGGTACAGCGACAGCGCCGGCTAAGAACCAGTTAATCTTTCGTGAGGGGGGGCCCGGTTTCTTAATTTTGAAGTGCACTTAAAAACAGCATTTCGGTAATTGAGGGCACCCTGGATGTCTTAACCCAAATTTCTTAATTTGAAACGGCAGCAAAGACAAAAGCGGATTCAAGAAATGAGAGCAAAGAAAGATTATAGCCCGAAGCACTTTCCATTCCAGCTCATGCGCTTATCCACGCGGGCATGGCATCCTTTAGACTTCTTGAAAGCCATCATATCCATCCAGATTTTATCGAGCTTGTATTCAACCCTTACCAGAACCCCAGATAGGACATCGAGCCCCTCAATATGCGAAAGTTAAGAAATCGAGCCCCTCAATTTCTTATTTTGGTGTTTTTCCTATATGGCAAAGCTTTTTTGAGCCCTTATTAGGCCCTTACAAAGCCTCTAGAGCCCTCCAAAGCTGTTATTCAGGCCTTATTAAGCCCTTAGTAAGCAAGCCCAGAACCCCAGCAACCAACAAAGGTTGGTGGTTTTTCCTATATGAAAGCTTAATTTAAGCCCACATTAAACCCTGACAAAGCCTCTAGAGCGTCCAAAGCTGATATTAAGGCCGTATTCAGCCCTTTGCAAGCTAGCCCAGAACTCCCCCAAATAAAAAATCGAGCCCCTCAATTTCTCAAATTTAAGAAATCGAGCCCCTCAACTTCTTATTTTGGAAAGCCTCTAGAGCCTTCCAAAGCTTTTTTTAAGGCTTTATCAAGCCCTGAGTAAGCAAGCCCAGAACAAGACAAAATGAGTAGTCGAGCCCTTGAATTTCCTAAATTTACGAGAAGTTTTCCCTATATGAAAGCTTAATTTAAGCCCATACTAAGCCCTGACAGCCTCTAGAGCCGTGCAAAGCTGTTCTTAAGGCTTTATGATTAGGCTAGCCCAGATCCCACCAAAATAAGAAATCGAGCGTCTCATCCTAGAGGCTTAGTAAGGGCTTAGTAAGGGCTTAAGCTAAGCTTTGCCATATAGGAAAACACCAAAATAACAAATTGAGGGGCTCGATTTCTTGAATTTCAGAGATTGAAGGGCTCTATTTCTTGTTTTTTTGTTGTTGGGGGGATTCTGGGCTTCCCTAATCAGGGCTTAATCGCAGCTTTGGAGAGCTCTAGAGGCTTTGGAAGAGCTTTGCACCGAGCTTTTGGAACTCGAAATCTACTCCCTGAGTTTGTTGGTTTCCTTTTGGGCGCGAACAAAAAACCAGCGAAGACAAGATGAGAAGAGCAAAATCAGACATTGGCACACCGAGTCCAGGGTACCCTGGATTTCTCATTTTCAATACGCGCATATGTTTATATGTCTTTTTTGTCGCACGGCTGTCCGAGGGGCTCAATCTCTTAGACCAATGATTTCTTAAGCAGTGCTGTTGCTGTAGGTTCTCCCGGGTTAAGGTAGGGCTAATGCGTAAATCGTAAGTTTATCTTCGTTTATGGCTTTATGAATTCATCATCAGAGTTTTTATCAAACCATCCCCTGCCACACAACTCATCATGTTGTTATCTTTATGTGATCGCTTTGAGGACGGTTTGGGACTTCTTCCGCCAAAAACAATAAGATGCGATGACAATCATGAGATATCTATATATATATATATAAGATGATAGATAAACAAGTATTTGCTGAGTTTTCGAAGCTTCCAGGATCCCTTCGCGCCCTTTCCCCGGCCCCTTTCCTCCGAACGACGGGAACATTACAATAAAATATTAGTTTCCGAAGGCTTACCTCAACCCAAAACGCTAAACCCAGTAAACCATATGGGAGTTTCCAAAAAAAGGGGACCCTAATATAGCACCCGAAATAGTAGGATCCTTATTATAAGGACCCCAAATAAGGGACCCTAGTTTTCGGAAACTCCCACATGAATCCACGCAGCTCCTCAGCCCTCCAAGGCCCAAGCTGAAAGCCCCAAAGCCAAATCCAGCCTGTGGCTGGCTAAGAACTGCCCAGACCTTCCAAAAGCCTTTAATCAAGGAATATACCTTAAATTATAATAGGATCCCCAATATGATTTAAGGTATATTCCTTAAGGGATTTTGGAAGGTCTGGGTGTCTCACCGCCTTCAAGAAGCCCAACCTCAGCCCAAGACCCTAAGTTTGAATCCCTGTGCTAAGACCTGGTAAGATACCCTAAACCCAAACGCATAAAACCTAAGGGTTGTTTCTACATCAAGACCTCAAACCCCAGAGCTTGAACTCTGCAAAACCTAAAAGCCCCAAAATGAACCATTCTAGACACCGGACAACGTCATCCGGAAGCCTTGCCACCCTAAACACCACCACTTTCAACGAGGTCACGCTAAAAGCCTCCAGCTTTCCTATCCCGTATAGAATATTATAGGATCCCTTAGCCCTAAGCCTAAAACACGAAATCCCAAGCTCTGAAAAATAAACCCTAATCTAACTCCTAAATACGACACTCGATACTTAACCCTAAACCAACAGAGCCCCTACAAAAACTCCTTAAAGGAGGCCATAAAAGGAACCCTTAAAGGAGCCCGTAAAGGAACCCGAGGAGCCTCTAAGGAACCCTTAAAGAAGCCCTTAAAGGAACCCGAGGAGCCTCTAGAGGAACCCACACCTCGCAAGGCTAGCGATTTTGCTCAACGACGCGGAGGGAGAGGAGCTGCGCCGACCCAGGGTTCATTAGGCTTTAGGGTTTAGGGGGGTTTAGGGTTTAGGGGGGTTTAGGGTTTAGGGTTTAGGGGGGTTTATTTAGGGTTTAGGGTCTAGGGTTTAGGTTTTAGATCGAGTAATACGGTTGGGTGGTTGTCAAAATTAGGGTCCCTTTTGGGGTTCCTATTATAATACTGCACCTAATAGTTAGGGTGCCCAAAAAGGGACCATAATTTTGACAATTACCCGGTTGCTGATATAAAATCCTGCATTACCTTAAGGACTCTAAACTATGGGATTGATTTGTGGTATATTCCTTAATATTATGGGTACTGCAGGATTTATATCATCAACCGTATGGGGCCTTGCCTGGTAGAAATGATTTGTGTAAGGGGTCTTTAACGGCTGCTAAAAGTACCACAACAAAGTGCTTGAATCTACTAGAAGGTATAATTAAGGGAGTCTACTTTTCTAAGGGCTAAGTTTAGGGGCATGCATTGTTTGCATGGGGTTCCTCTATATAAAGTGTTCTTTACGGTAGTCTTCGTGGGTTGCTAAATAGGTATACGGAAGTCTACGTTTAGTTTAGGCCTTATTGTTAGAATGAGGTTCCTTTAAGGGGTCCTTTCGAAATAATCGCAAGTTGCTAGAAGGCTTCTAGACT